GTATGCCACCCTATTCCCGAGAGACTCAGGGGGGGGCTCATAATAAAAAGGGGAGGGGATACAGAAACAAAATAAAAACAGCAGTTTAAAATTCACAACAGTCGTAACCTCGAATGGGGCTGGATAGTTCAACAGCCCCAGGCCTGCTGGAACAGCCAGGTCTTAGTTGCTTTGCGGAAGGCGGAAGGGTAGTAAGCGTCCGGATCTCAACGGGGAGATCGGCCCTCCCCCGAGGAGTTGCCAGCCGACATTGGCCGGCAGATGGAATTCGGAGGAGGCCTAGTCTGTGAGATCTAATAGGTCTTTGGGAGGTGACTGGCAGGAGGTGGTCTCTCAAGTAGAGTGATAGAACTATGTATTCTAAACAATACTATCTAATATTGAACTAAATATCTATAGCAAGCAGATATCACAAATAAGAAAATTAATATAGTTAGAAATAATTTATTGGAGACTTTTAATATAATGAAAATGGTATTTCTAGATTAATAGATATGATATAACCACATAGATATCAGCCTTACATATAAGTCTATGAATGTATGTGTATGTATATATTCATCTCTTATTTCTTCATGTAGGCTGGAAGGAGTGGGAAAACAATTCCAGAATTAGAAAAAACAATTGGCTTGATGAAAAAAGTTGTAGAGAGAGTCCAAAGAGAAAATGAAGAGCTAAAAAGGGCCCCCGGAGTAGTCGCTAATGAAAAAGTTGCCAGACTTGAGCAAGAAAATGAGGACTTAAGGGTAACTAACATATGCTATTTTAAAGGCTTTTTTGTTTTAATATTTAATCTGAAAAATATATAGTGATTTATGAAGGTGGTCTCATTACTCCTGAGTTTACAAAGGTCCCTTGAGGTCCTTGGGATCCCAGAACTCATGAGGTAGCTGTCTTATTAATAACCCTTCATCTATTGTTTTCCTGTTTTAGTTCTACTTTTAGAATTTCTAATTATAAATTATATAAATTTGGATCATCCTAATAGTTCTAGAACTTGGATAATACAGTGTATGTGAAAACATTTTTTTTAAAAAAAACTATATTTTAAGTGAATACAATACGGCTCTGTAAAAATTGATAAAAGCTCTACGATATACAAATAGATACTATGCTTTTTCAGATTTTAATAATATGAACAATTTGTGACATAATCCTCCTTTTTTCATTTGTTTACAAAATACTAAGTCTGAAATGGAAAAACTGAAACTTCACTTTGGAAGTGAACTAAGTGCACGATATGAATTGAAGACTAAAGGCACAGAAAAAATCATTGCTGAAAATGACAGAATACGTAAAGAGCTGAAAAAGGTAAATATATTATAAATATTGTATGACAAATTTTCAATATAGTTTGATTCTATCTAGGGTTGGGTGACAACATTGGTTGAATTTTTGAGGAAGCTCATTTATTTTTTAAAAAATATTGCAATAGATTATTAACTATATTATTTATTAATCTGTATATTATTATTTATAATGAAATTATAGATAAACAGGGCTCAGTCTTTCCCATTTTGGAAACAGAATTCTTAATCGATATACAAGCAAATCATAGCTTCCTGATTAATAAAGATTAGTAAATTAGAATAATTAAACCACATTCTTTCAGATTTAATAGAAATTTGGTTTCAAGAAATATGATTTGCTGTGGCACATGCATCAGTGGTAAGAAAGGAACTCACAGGCATAGTGTTTATTCGAAGCTTAATTTGGAAACATGTTTCAATATGATTAATATATTTTTTGTGACAATAGGAAGTAGAAAATGCAGAAAAACTGCGAATGGCAAAGAATAACCTTGAAATAATAAATGAGAAACTGAATGTGGAATTGGAAGAAACAACAAAGAAATTAAACTTCGCAGAAAGCAGAATCCCAAAACTTGAAGATGCTGACACCAAGAATTGGAAATCCATAGTTATAACAAGGTACAGGTTGTTGTCTGTTAACAACCGCTCATTCAACAACCTAAACTGTGACAGCGTTAAATGAGTGGTACTTAATAACTAATCCTTGGAGTTTCAGTTTTTACAGTACCTCCGTAGTCATGTGGATGTGATCTGGGTACTTGACAACCAGCTCACATAATAGTTGCCGCATCCCACAGTCACATGTTCACCATTTCTCTGTTGGATTGCAAATTCTGCTGCTGTTTTTTCTCCTCAGGAAGCTGGCAGGAAGTCACAAGATTCTCACTGAATGGCCTGTGATTTTCACTTAGCAATGGCTGTTTTATCAGTATTGCTATCGCTGAATGACATTGTCATATGATGTCTTGCTTTATGATCACAAGTTAGCAATAGAAATTCTCATCCCAATTATCATTATAAAGTAAAGGATAACTCTAGAACTAAATAATGGAAAATAAATATATATCTATTTCCCCCTATATTTCAAAAACTATTAATTTATTTCTCAAGTTTATTGGCACTTTTGAATAAGTTTCAAAATTTGGAAACTTATCGTTAATGAAAAACATACCAATTAATAGCAGCTTTATGCATCTTTGGAACACATATTTCTAGGGGACAAGGTCCTTTTTGTTATTTTGTATATTTAAAAAGTTGAAAGCTATACAAAATGTTCTTCAGAATAATCATGTTGAACTGTTAATTTGTGTTATTTATTATGGATGTATGTATTTCTGTCCACACTGCATCTTTTCAATATGAACAATTCAGTATGTATTGTGTATCATATATGATTTTAAAAATTGTAAACCAATTGATAAACCAATGCATCATATACAATCTTATTCTCTTGAATAATATTATTTTCTTTTAATGAGATCAGTTGGAATCAGTACTGTCCATTTTTATTTTTACTTTCAGGATGTTTGAAAATAAACTCAAAGAAATGGAATCTGAAATTGCAAGAAAAAACCAAATTATTAGGGATCTTAAACAGAAATTACAAAAGCCAACTGAGAGTGCAGATAAAAATGAAAACTGTATTGAAGACTATCTTACAGAACAAGTAAGATTTTATTTTTATTTATTTGGTGCCTTTAGGTCAGCTCCTGGCACCTGCTTGGCAAGTCCCTGCTGTTTTCTTGGCATATTTTTTTCAGAAGTGGTTTGCCCGAGGTCACCCAGCTAACTTTGTGGCTGAGGTAGGACTGGCACTCACTCCTTAACTACTATGCCAAACTAAAGTAAAATTTAGTGTGTGCATAATGGGAAAATGTGGTGTTTATATTTTACTGGTAAGAAGTTTTAATGCAGTTTCTTCCTTTGTAAGTGCATTCTTTTTTTATTTTCTCACTAATCTCTAGAGAACAGGTTATTCTCCAAAGTTGGTGGAGACAGCAGTCATGAATGGGTTAACTCAGTCAGTAACCAATAGAACTGAGTCTACCAAAGTGATGTCATTGCCTCTGAGGAGTGTCCTCCCACTTTTTTTTAGACTCAGTTCTATTTGAACTGATAGTGCTAATTGCTCTCTCCTCAACTTTCTACTTAAAAACTTCAATTGGCTTCTCTAATCAAAATTAATTGTCTTGAATTCATCTCCAAATTGCAAGGAAGAAAAAAGGGTTTTCTGGGATTGCTCCCTTTGGAGCCAGGACTTTCAGTTAGCCCTTGGGCTTACTGAGGAGAATTGCCAGGGATTCTTTGAGGCTTTTGCCTCCCAAACTTGCCAGCAGCCTCAGAAGTTTCTTCGAGTGCAGAGTTCCTCAGCACTGGCCATTGGAGGCCCCGCTCAATGCTGCTGCTGCCGCTGGATCTCCCTGGCTCTCCCTCGCTTGCCACCAAGCCGCCAACCGGGCCAGAAGCCGCCGCCACTGCACGCCACCACCAGTCCTCAGCACTCCCGCCGCTGGACTATCGCTGCTGCCTCCGCAGCCATTCCACAGGGCTTTCGACACCTTTCCTCGTTCCGCAGCCTCGACTACCTCGTGGCGCCCAACCCATAGGCTTTTCTGTTTTGGCGTGAAGAGCTCTGGTGGCCATTTTGTCTACTCAGCGAGCCGTGAGTACAGGCCATGGCCTCTCCTGGCCCTGAATGGCCTCCACCCACCAACCTTCATCTGGGGCACACAGGCACAGATTTGCCCTGGAGGCCTCCCCTACTGAGCCTGCTTCCAAGACCCCAAGGTCTAGTCACATGGGTACAGCCGATCCACCCCTCCAGGAAAGGGACACTGCCACTCAGGCCCCTCCCAGCAATGCCAGAACCAAGACCAAAAACACAGAATCCAGTCTATTTCAGGCCCAGAGCCTCTTCAGCCTAGTCCTCCTGACCTTTCTTCCGATTCAAAGGATGATCTCTCCCCTGCTGCATCCATGATCCAACCTGAGGATTCCCGGGGCACCGGCGATCTGGCCAACAGTGGGGATGAATCTGAGGGCAGCAGGAGCATCACTCCTGATGAGGACGCCCTCTACCAGGAGGACATTTCTTCCCCCATCCCGCTTCCATCGTTCTTACTCACCTGGCATGGCTGATATCATATCTGAGACTATTGAACGAGGCATAGCAGCAGGAATTAAACACAGGTCTTCTAACCATTGTCCTCCACGCAGGTCTGTTTCTTCTTCTGGTTCCAGACGCAGGAATGGTGATCTCTCAGCTTCTTCATCGCATGAGTTACCTGGCACGTCCAGTCAGCCATCAGTTTTCAGAGAGGAGGAACGTCCGGCAAGAGATTCAGATCTCTCGGAAGATGAAGGTCTCCCTCCCAACCCACCTACCGTTGTCAGTTTATTATTCAATGTCTTTTTTTTAAGTCCAAGAAGATTGCGGGTGAATATTCCTTCTCCCAAGGCACAGCAGGGAACGGAAGCGGACAGAGTTGACACTACTGACCCCCTCTTCATCCAGCCTAAGGTAGAAAAGGAGATGATTCCGTCACCCAGACTCTTCATAGATGTGGTCCAGAACGAATGGGCATCACCAGGTACATGTCCCCTCCCCAATACCTTGGACAAGCGCCTGTATAATGTGGGACCAGAACTCACCAAGGCTCTAGAGGTACTTTCT